GTGCTGCACAAAGCGACGGCGCCTCCATCCAATGTAGTGTTTTTTGTTTGTGGTAATGAGTCATGAGAGTTTGGGGGTTGGAAAATGCATAGTATTAAGGACATGTCTGTTTTCGGCGTTAAGGCCTAGCCCACTGCCAAGTCGTGCCTGCAGCGCCCATCGCGACAGTCACAGCGCGGCCGTTCGAAGCCATCTGAGTGCGGCAAGCGTTCTGAATCAAGGTTCCTGAAAGGCATCCCAATAATTTGAACTTCTACTCGAGCCCGACAACGTCAGAAGCCTTCCAGCCTAGGATTCGTCGACTCTCGTTGATCTCTCTTTGGTTAGACCCGGCGGCGATAACCCCTAAGAGCCTCTATGAGCCAACCCCACTTTGCACCAATTGCGATTGGGGCGCCCTACATGCCTTGCCAAAGCGTCCTTCCTGATAGAAACCCTTCCCGGGATTAACAGGTCTGCGGCCTGTGTCTGGGGTCAACAAGGGCTTGAGGTTTGGATTTGTAACTGGGCTGGCTTCTCTTCTTGCAAATCTTCATAAATCTTCCACTGGTGATGGTCAACGTATATTTACGAGACGATACCTTCGACATAGCCGCTTGAGCTTCTTTCACCCTCTTTGCCAGATGCTGCACCATGAACCAGCTGTATAGCACAATTCGAGTGCATAGCCGACGAAAGAAAACATGCAAACCCGTATCCATCGTACTATTTGTTGTGGAAAATGGATGGAAATGGATTTCACTGGTTAAGCCCTTGAAGCCTCCAATCTGGGCGACCGGGCGGAAGCAAAGCAGGCAGTTGATTAAAAGATGTGCAAAGTTCTGAGGGATGTCCCGAACCTGCACCGGCAGGGGTCAAGGCTCTGGCGCGTGTCGGCGAGTTCGGGTTATTGGCCTAACGTACGTTGCAACTAACAGTAACTAACAGCCGGGGCATGCCTCAAGCTGGGGTAACACAAAATGCATTCAGACACTTCGGGGAGCCTCAGCTTGACAGGAGACACCCCTGAACCTACCTGCTAATTTTCTCCGCCACATATGCTTGTGTTTGCAGCGAGTGCTAATTTTACAAATCACACAAGGTGACAACGGGCGTCTAAGTCTGCGCTACAATCGCCCAGAAAGTGATTCCGTTCCTGTACTTGGCACTAACACGTAAAGACGACATGCGAACGACAGACCTGCAAGACCCCATGATGGAACCAGTTTGATGTTCAACTGCGCGGGTTTCTGCTAACATAACATAATCGAAGCAAGATGAAAACCGAAAAGGCAAACCTTCCTGGGATTCCGCGCCCCGGTTCTTTGCACGCTGCACTGCTTCCCGGCTTGAGCACAACGGCCCAACGAGTGTGGATATTGACATCATGTGGTCAGCGGTGAAACTTCAATGTTTCATGAGAGCAACAAGCTTCCAGTTCTGTTTTTTTTTTTAAGGGCCTTTTTCCGTCCCGACTCTTTGTTTAAAGGCTGAAGCAGTTGCATAGGCTTCTGCACATGCAAAACCCCTCGAAACGCTAGAGTGAGTTCAATCCTGAGGCCCCTACCAAAATCCGGCAGTAGACAATAACCCGTGCTTCGAACATGAAGGTAGCAGGAAGGGGTTTATCCTCGGTTACGCAGACAGCTGCATTCACAACAGCCTTTCAGCACAGGACGGCAGATTTGTGCACACTGGGTCGCAGACCCATTGCTAGCAATTCGGGATTCGACTCATTACAGGGTCAACACCATGATTTATCGAAATGAATTCCCATCTGGGCTTCTCGATCAAGGATGACTGGATGCAGTTTGCCTGCAGCAGTGACAGGCGATACACTAGCTACAAGTGCCACTAGTCAGCAACTGGATGCTTCTCACAGCTTTAAAGAGACAAAAACCTTCGAACCATACGCACCGTCTTGTCCTGCAACCTGGAATTTAGATCAACTCAACATCACAATGCCTAAACATGTCCCAGAAAAGGCTCTGCGACAAACCTGGTCTCACGGTCAGAGCTTCAACCTGCCCCCTTTGTCGCGGCTATGCGCGAACATCTGGTCGTGCGCCGGGGCCGGACTGTTCAAGCCTTCAGTCTGCAGAGTGCCGATGTCCGATGTCGGGTTCGTGAATGCCTTATAGCTTAATAGGCTTGGTTGCTGAGGGGCCTGGGCCTAAAGCCTAAACATCCCTAAACTTCCTGTTATTGCCAGAGCTCCAGAGTTTTGGAGTCCTTTCCTCACCTTCCGTCTTTGGACGCAGGCTCTCGGCTTCGATTCCGGCTGGGACTTGTTATCTCGGCGTTCTTCCCGGAAGCGGTTGGGTTGGGCAAAGAGCCGTGGTTCATCAAGTCCGCCAGAATCTGAGCTAGACCAACCCAGACTCTAGGAAAGTTTCATGGCCAAGCGGTAGCCCAACTCGGCGAAACTACGCTCAACCTAGCGTGCCTGAAAAATGCTCAGAATTCCACCCTCCGCTTCTTACCCCTCGAAATGCGACCCCCAAACCTTCCTTGGAAAACTAGATCTCCAACCCTGGCGCCCCTAGATCCAGAGCTATCGAACTTCCGAATGCCGAAACTCAAAGCTCATGAGCTCCACAATTTTAGGGTTTTGGGCGAAGGGTTTGTGTTTAGGGTTTTTGTCTTGGGGTTTAGAGCCTCAGGATTTGCAGCTGGGGTCCAGACACCGGAGATCATGTACAAGCACGGCCATTCTTAAAATCCTGCGGGAGCATCTCTGTCAGGCTTTGGTTCATTAAGGAGAGCTGTATTTTTGTTTGCCGGGTTGCCACTGGGGCTGTGTTGCCTGTGAGGGGGCCTCGTGCAGGCTGGCCTTCTGAGTCTGGTTTGTGGCTGCGGGGTTTTTCTCCCACATGCGGCGTTCCCCTGCCGCCAAACTCTGTAGGGAGTTGAAGGGGCCTCTCAACGGCAAGCTTTGCGTTTCTAGAGTCCGTGACTTCTGGCTAAGGCTTCACAGGAGGCGCAGACGAAGAGGAGGGCAGCAAGAAGGGCTGGCGGCAGGTTTCATGATTGAGGCAGACTGTGTCGAAGCGGCCCCGAAGTGGGAAGACTTAGCGACATGCAGTTGTTTACACACAATCCACCCAAGTCCTGCAAAAAACAGCAACCCAAAATTTTGGAGTTGGGGCTCATTCGCATGGAACATATATGTAATCCATCCAAGCACGTTTTGAGTCCAAAGTGTTGGAATTTAAGGGCCCTCAAAACACATTCTGTAACTTGGGTTCTCAAGTGTTCGCACCAAACATGTCAATGTGCGATCCACTCCGTCATGGAAACCCACAAATTTTGGACCCCCAAGGTTTTGGAATGTTGTGCAGCACTCCGCAAAGGCTTGTGTCAGAATGCGGCAAACACCGACATTAAAAAAGGGGTACCACATGCATGCTGATGGAGTCGCCAATGCAGTAGAACTTAACATCGTGCCTCCAATCTGCCACACGCACATACATACACATACAGACACAGAGACACAGACACCAAGACACACACACACACATGCAAACAAACACACACGTGTGTGTGTGTGTGTGTGCGTGTGTGTGTACGGACAAGGTACTTGCGCCTCGCTCGCCCCATGGCTGACGTCCACTAACTTTCGTAATAGATGGCCCAAAGCAGAATGCAAGTCGGCCTCAAAATCCCCACATGGCTGGCCCGGTGGTTCCCGTGATTCCTGCACCAAGGCATGGTTGGCAGACTGCCGGTACAATCATTCAGCTGCTGCAAGAAAACATGCAAGTGCCGTAAACTCAAGCTCAGAACCTTCCCAAGGTAAGGATTGGGTTTGGCTCGTGGCCAGTATGCTGTTGATGGTAGCGCACCATCAAAACATGTAGGAGGCGGGAAACCGTGACGGCGTCGACATGCAACAATGCTCTGAATCTTTGTTGCAAACAGCATCCTTGACCCCCTAATGCAACAGTGATCTAGACCATGAAGCTTGATCAGATTACCCAACACAGTCCAGATACACGCATCAATAGGTGAAAATCCCCAGAAAGCCTGCTTCCAACTGCGGTTAGGCAGATGCTGTGCCAAACGAGAAGCACTCTCATTTGTGTAAGGCTTGTTTAGCAATTAATTCTTGTAATCGTGTCGCAATTCCCACCAACCGACAAACCGCCAGACCAGACAGCCCGTCCGTTCTGGAAGAGCATGCCAGTGATGGCCATCATGGCCAGGCGGCCGTTCGCAAGCTCGGAATTGAGTTTCCTAGCACGCTGCAGCCGAACATGGGTGTGAGGGTGTACGATACCGGAGGTTTAAAGATTCAGAGATAGCCGCTAGGCCGCAGGGCTATGAATTGCCTCCATCGTTGAGCCCTCCTCCTCCTCCTCCTCCTTCTACTCCTACTCGAACTGGTGCTGCTGGTGCCGCTGGAGCTGCTATGGCAGTGGCAGTATACTGCCACTACCACAGCCACTGCCACTGCGCGCTTACTCTTAATTACTCGTACTCTTTACTTACCCTTATCCTTCCCTTACTCTTACCCTTCCCCTTACTCTTACTCGTGCTTCTGCTGCTGCTGCTGCTACTACTACTACTACGACGACGACGACGACGACGATGACGGCGACGGCTACGGCGACGGCGACAGTCACGGCGACGACGACAACGACGACGGCGGCGGCGACTACCGTAGTACTGCTACTGCTACTGCTGCTGCTCTTGCTGCTGCTCCTGCTACTGCGACTGCCACTATCACTACCACTACCACTACGACGACGACGACGACGACGACGACTTCTACTTCTACTTCTACTTCTACTTCTACTTCTACTTCTACTTCTGCTTCTACTACTACAACTACTACTACTACTACCACCACCACCACCACCACCACCACTACTACTGCTACTGCTACTGCTACTGCTACCGCTACTGCTACTGCTACCGCTACTGCTACTGCCAAAACCAACATGTGGGCCTCAGCACTTAGAATAGGGCTCCTCTAGCCTATACGCTGTCCAGAACCCCATATTAATCAACCAAATTGTAACCCTTACAGGAACCACTAAAACCCTCAAAAGGAACCCTGCTCTACCAAAACAAGACCCGTTTTGTAGATGCTGTGGGCCTCTTGCGGCCCTCGGCGTCAGCCATTGGGCCACTGGCGTTGGGCACGCCGAGGATACCGGCATTCCTCGGCGATTCGGTGTACACTTAGGGTTCGGGGATCGAAATTTAGGGCCAGGGATTTAGGCTATCGGGATTAGGGATTTTCAATGGAATTGGGGTATGCAAGCCCCAGTATTTGACCCCCAATTCCACGAACATTGTGGCACACAGTCTAAGCTAAATTCAGGCAGCTGCGAAAGCGAAACAAACAGCCTATCCTACACCGGGCAAAGTGCAGCTGTCTCGATCCATTCCGAAATTCATGAACCTCAGCACCAAACCCAAAGCTCCGCCCTCGAGCTCTTTGAAAAGAATGGCCATGAAAACCAAGGCTCTGGAGGATGTGCATCTTCTGGCGAGGCTGAAGTAATGTAATCTCGGTGGGGCTCCCTCCAAGGGTCAAGTATTGTTCAATCCCTAAAACCCAGTACCTCCAACCTTTCGGCCCTGACGTTAAATCACACCAAGCCCTAAACTTCCCTAAACCCCCGAAAACCCCCGACCCGAACCCCTACACCCTAAACCCTCGAAATCTTGAAGATACACGGTGGTGAATTGAGCCCCCCGACTCATAGTCACCCGGGTCGCGAGAGGGATCGGCCCTCGTATGTCAAGAGCTTATAGTTTAAGTGTTTTAATGGTTCTTGAGGGTTCAGGGGTTGCAAAGTATTTCTTGTTTGCTGCATGGCATTTGCAGCTCCGATGCCTCTCATGCACGAATTTTGAGCTCTGGCACGCTTCAGCGGTTTCGCAAGCAGTTTTCCAGACTCGCAAAGATGTGGAAAACATACAGGAGGGAGAACGACCAGCAAGCCTGACCTGCACCAGCACCACGAACCCCAAATCCTGCAGGTGTAAGCGTTCTGTAACCGTCTTGAGGAACCCTGATGCCGACACAACTCAATTTGGTGGCTCGGCTTGTCACTTGCGGGTTTGCTGAAAATTGCGCCCCAAGACCCTAAATCCAACGTATGGACTTCCGAAGAAGATCCCGGCTTTTCGGCAAACATAACAAGTCCAAACCGGCTCATTTCTAGCTCTGAATATAGTATATTCCTTTATTATAGTTATCAGTATATTGTATAGGTATCGTATCGTCTAATATACACCGAAACCCCACTCCCGAAACCCCAGAAGAGCCTGTAGAGCCCGAAGTCCACCATGCCGCAGAAGACAAGGATCTGGATCCACCCGAGGAAGGGCACCTGCATGGTCCAAACAAGTCGGATACCTGTACAATTCACTGTTTGGGGTTGTCGGGGGGTTTTGGGGCGTGGGATGCTGCTCCTGCTACTGCTGCCGCTACCACCAGCACCAGCACCAGCACCAGCACCAGCACCAGCACCAGCACCAGCACCAGCACCAGCACCAGTACCACGACGACCACGGCGACCACCACGACGACGAGGACGACGACGACGGCTACTGCTACTGCTACCGCTGCTGCTGCTGCTGCTACTACTACGACAACTACCCCTCCTCCTCCTCCTCCTCCTCCTGCTGTTGCTCCCGCTACCGCTGCTGCTACTGCTCCTGTCCTGCTCGGGCATGCTCGGACCAGCGCAATTCCCAATGCCAGCGTGCGCAAAGCAATGGCAATCGTTAACAACTGCAGACACCGTCAACCTGTATACCCATCTGCGGGTCAAAAGCCTTATGTCTTATTTTGGATCATAGGCTCGATCCTTCTCCAGGCTTTGCGCGCATATTGCAAAAAAAGTTTGAAGCTGGAGCTGTGAAAGCGGCTGCGATCACCAAATCCCCAAATCATAAGCCCTGTGAGCACCCTGGAAGCCCTTGCCCTGCAACCAACTCTAATAAACCAACATTCAACCTTGTCTTGGGGTTGTGCGACCAGGTCCAGGAAGTTTAGAAGTCGGTTTTAAGAATAAAGCAATAAAGCGGCTCCTTTTTCATGACATATACGATTGCATACAGTCACACTCTACTGCAAATATGAAGACACCTCTATTACCATCGCCAGGTTGCGGTGTCTTCTCTTTGCTTCGGAACAACGCCCCAAATCTTAAAACGCTAAACATCCGTCAGCCCTGCTAAGCTTGTCTCAGTGCACAAAGCGACGCGATCGCTTGATACACTCATCCAACTGCCTATGGATACGAAAGGTGCAGGCATCGGAACAAGAGAAGAGACAAAATGACAAAAAAGGGCCGAGCCGCAGCGAAAAGACACCGGTTTGTGAATAATAACATCAGACACGGCCAAGCTGACAGGCCGCCACCACGCGTGCAAGCACATGCAACCCAAGAAGCAGAGCATCGCAGGCGACACATGAAGAGCGCCGTGCCGGAGGCCCCGGAAACCCTGCGCAAAGTGTGACAAACTCGTCAGTGCGAGGAAAAACATAGTCCTCTGGGACCTCATCCTGGGCACAAAGAAGGAGGAGCTTGCATCTCTGGACCTCCTAGGGACGGAGGGAAGCTGGCGTTGAGCGTCCAGCTTCGCCACAGCCCTTTGACCATTTGTGAGGACAAGGCGGCTCGGGCATTGAGCCCCTCCAATAAATTTCCCTCGAGCATCAATGGGCGATCGATTTGGTCCTGGGCTGGCTTAACATAGGTGGCCTCGACCGCAAAGGCCGGGGTTGCCTGGCCAATAACAGCCAACCACAGCTGAAACTTGAGCGGGCCCCCCGGAAGCGCTGCCTCCTTACCAGTCAACAGTATGCCGTTGGCATTGTACTCCTGTCATCTTGCGTCGCGTATTTGAACTGCACATGCTGGTATTTTCAGTATGCATGTACGTACATTTATGTGTGTATATACACATGCTAACCCTAAGTTATAGCTGTACTAGATACTAACATAACGACGAGGATCGTTAACTGACTCCTGTTTCCAAACAACATCAACGTTAACCCTGTCCTTGTTATGTCAATGGTGACCGTAACATTCGCCCTGACATCACGAAGACCGTCCGTAGTAGGCTTCGTACCACCCATAATCTGACCATGGTCAGCTACAAGAAACCGTGATTAGTGCTTTTAGCTGTGGTAGCCCTGTTATCCTGGGTCCTGGTCTGTGTTAAACCTGCAAAATTGGCTTTCTATTGACACCAAAACTGATCCGAATAATGCCACTAGACTCAATGATGTGCTGAGAAGCAGCCTTCCTCGTCAGGCGTGGCTTGTGTGGCAGGCAATTTAGATTTCTTTGGCCCTTATTCCGTTTAGGACTTTAGGAGGTGGCATGTGGCTTTCCATTTTCTCGAAATTTTCCGAGGCGTAACACCGGCATGCATTTTGCCCATAAGGCTCCCTGCTACAGATTGCGGGGTAAGCACCACAGTGGAAACGAACGTCAGGCTCACGAGGCCGCCAAAACGGCACAGGGCCGGCCTAGAGTCACACGCAAAGTAAAAAGCAACAACAACTTTCCAGGTGTCCGAGGATGGCATGCAGCAATTAGTGAACAGCCTGAGCAGCTCAGAAGCAGCATTGAGCTTCTCAGTAACGAGATGTTGCTGCAGAAACAACGGTCGACGATGGTCGACGTGCCAACCGAGCAGAAGGCGGAAGGGAGAAGGAAGAGAGGCTCCTACAAACCCAGCGGAAATACTCAAGCTTGAACCCCCGGTTCTTCAAAGCCCAAACCCTCCCTCAATCAAAACCTCGTTGTGTCCCAGTTGAGCCTTGGAGAGAGCAGCCAGGCCGTTGGGGACATCAGCAAACTTCAGGTTCTTGGTTGGCCTGGGGCCACATTTGCGTAGGCCCTAAGACCATGATGGCAGCTGCAGGGCTGCAGGGTCTAGACCTGAGGTCTCGGGATGTCTGGGGGTTTGAAAACCCCAAACATGCACCCGAAACCTTAAGCTTAAACCCTACAGCCCTGCAGGTGCGAATGCAAGGAAAAATACTGCACATGAGCGCTTTCTGGAAAGCTTGCAAGGATTAGAGGGAAAGTTCTCAGCGGCGAAGCCAGAACTGAATGGAAACGATGCCGAGCAAGAATATGTCAATAGTACCATGTTTCCCTTTGCTAACAGCTATGATTCTCTGCCTCCTCCCACATTTACTGCTCATGTTGCTGCTACGACTACGACGACGACCACAACAACTAGCACTACCATTAATCAAGAATCACTAATCACTAGTCACAACTAAGCTCTAATCACAACCATCTACTACAACCCCTGAAATTACTACGGCTCCGATTATACGACCTCGACACCGGCTCCGACTACGAGGACGACGACTACGACTACTGCCATTAGTCCGACCACTGTGCTACTACTGTTGCTGCTGCCGCTGCTGCGACGACGGCAACTACTAAGAGTAGTTCCAAGAGTCGCAGGCAGAAAGATTAGTAGGGGCTTAATAATCTTAACACTATCCTCTCTACTGCTCGTACCACTGCCACTACCACTACAATTACGGCTACGGCCGGATGCGGCTGCTGCTACTTTCGAGCGGTGTGCTCCTTGTTTTCAATCTCCTCTAGTCTCTTTCGAGCGGTTTGCTGGTGCTTCTGAAACTCTCTACTCCTTGTTTCTCTAGTCTCTTTCGAAATTCTCTAGTTTCTTTCGAGCGGTTCGCTCCTTGTTCGGAAGTTCTCTAGTTTCTTTCGAGCGGTTTGTTCTTTTGTTTCAATATCTCTAGTCTCCTTCGGGCGGCTTGCTACGTCTTCTGAAATTCTGTACTTCGTTTCGAGCGGTAGCGGTTTGCTCCTTGTTTTCAAACTCTCTTTTTTCTTTCGATATTCTCTCGTCTTTTTCGAGCGGTTCGCTCCTTCTTCTGAAACTCCCTAGTTCCTTTCGAGCGGTTTGCTCCTTGTTCTCAATTTCTCGCGTCTCTTTCGAAATTCTCCAGTCTCCTCCCTGCTCTGAATTTCTCTAGTCTCTTTCGAGCGGTGTGCTCTTCTTCTGAAATGCTCTAGTCCCTTTTGAGCGGTTTGCTCCTTGGTTTCAAAGTCTCTAGTCTCTGTCGAAAATTGTTTATTTTCTTTCGAGCGGTTTGTTCCTTCGTCTGATACTCTCTAATTCTTGTCGAGCCGTTCGCTCCTTGTTTTCAATTTGCCTAGTCTCTTTCGGAAATTCTCTAGTTTCTTTCGAACAGTTTGCTCCTTCTTTTCAATTTGCCTAGTCTCTCTCGGAAATTCTCTAGTTTCTTTCGAGCAGTTTGCTCCTTGTTCTGAAGTTCTAGTTCCTTTCGAACGGTTTGCTCCTTGTTTTCAATTTCTCTAGTCTCTCTCTCGAAAATTGTCTAGTTTCTTTCGAGCAGATTGCTCCTTCTTCTGAAAGTCTCTAATTCTTTTCGAGCGGTTGGCTCCTTGTTTTCAATTTTCCTAGTCTCTGTCGAGCTGTTTGCTCCTTGTTCTGAAATTCTGGAATTGCTTTCGTGCGGTTTGCTCCTTGCTTTCGAATCTTGCCGTCTCTTTCCAAATTGTCTAGTCTCATTCGAAAGGTTTGCCCCTTGTTCTGAGGTTTTCTAGCCCCTTTCGAGCGGCTTGCTCGTTGATTTTCAATTTCTCTAGTCTCTTTCAAAACCCTCTAGTCTCTATCGAGCGGTTTGCTCCTTCTTCTGAAGCTCCTGTTCTGTTCGAGAGGTGTGCTCCTTGTTTTCAATTCCCCTAGTCTCTGTCAAAATTCTCTAGCCTCATGCGAGCAGTTTGCTCCTTGTGCGGAAATTCTCTAGTTCCTTTCGAGCGCTTTGCTCCTTGTTTTCAAACCCTGTAGTCTCTTTCGAAATTCTCTAGTTCCTTTCGAGCGCTTTGCTCCTTGTTTTCAAACCCTCTAATTAGTCTCTATCGAAGTTCTCTAGTCTCTTTCGAGCGGTTTGCTCCTTCCCCTGACATTCTCTAGTCTCTTTCGAAATTCTCTAGTCTTGTTCGAGCGGTTTGCCCCTTCTTCTGCAATTCTCTAGTTCCTCTCGAGTGGTTTGCTTCTTGTGTCCATAGTCTCTCGTCTCTCTCGAATTTTTTTAGTTTCTTTCAGGCGGTTTGCCCCTTCTTCTGAAACTCTTAAGTTCCTTTCAGCGGATTGCTCGTTTTTTTTTCAAATTTCTCTAGTCTCTGTTTTCTCTAGTCTCTTTTTCGAGCGGTTTGCTCCTTGTTATGAGACTCGCTATAGTTCGCTTCGAGTGGTTTGCTCCTTGTTTTTCAAATTCCCTAGTCTCTTTCGTAATTCTCTAGTTCCTTTCGAGCGGTTTGCTCCTTGTTTTCAATTTCTCTATTCTCTTTCGAAATCCTCTAGT